TTAAATTAGTTAAAAGGCGACGAAAATTACCTTTCGAGTCATTAAGCAATTTTTCTTCTTTTTGATTTTATTGAAAGAAAAAAAAACTGCACAATGTCGAATATTGTACATTAGTACAATATTATAACAGTTGGTTAGTTTTTCCAACAAACTAAGGGGAAAAAATATGCAATTAAGAGAATATAATTATAGTTAACCAATTAATTCCGAAATATAAAGTCATTAACATTTATTCATATTGCCAATAACAAAAATTAAAAAAAAAGAAAAGAAAAACAAACAAAACAATTGGAGACATAATAATATGGTCATATAGGTTATTTCCATTTGTACAGGACGTTTGTTATTTAATTACGTGAGAAACTATTTATGTCTTTTAACTCGTAGATTATAATTGATTATCGGTTAAGTAAATTCTTTCATCATTATCTTATGTATACATGTATATTGTTGATATTTATTTTAATGGTATATTGTAAGTGTTAATTAAATTCATTGAAATAATGTAAGTTAATACATATGGAATGTTTGTTGACCAACTGCTGTAGTAACAATTAGTCTGTTTTTTTTGTTCTTTATTTTTTTTTAAAAAAACAGAAGAGCTATTTGCAACAAAAAGAAAACTTTAAACTTTATTATTCTATTTTATTTTATAAAATCAAATTTGTTTTAATTTTATTTTTAACAGCAAATTTACATACATTTAAACATTAATTTTTGTTTCCAAGTTAAAGATTAGTTTTACAGATAGTTCATTCGGGAATTGTTACTAAATAACATATAGTTGAAATGTGTAAATCTGTTTGTCATTATGATACTATACTGGATATATACCGCAATGAAGTACCGTGTTGCCGCCCGTAAAATGGCGTTAAACATCTGCAGCATGTGTAGTATGTAGACATTTGAAATAAAAACTAAATACTTAAAATGAACGTATTTCCAATGTTGAATGTAACTTTTTTTAAATATTTAGCTTGCCTTTCTTTTTGACCAAAACATCGATGAGATATGTGGAGTATTTTATTTCAGGTCTTGATTTTTCTTTCTACATTTAAGAATCTGAGTAGTTTGTATGTAGGTTTTAAAACATTGGATTCGTATACGAAATTATTGAAAAATGACGTTGAATAACATAACATAAAAAAAATTTAAAGTTAACTATATTTTTCAATTGCACTATCTATTATTACTACGTTAGGTAGTGAACAGATTCTAAGTAGCAAATGGCAGCAAGAATATAGTCTCATTGTACAATATAACTCTATGAAATTAGAATCCATTAGTGAATAATAATCAATTTGTTTTATAACAAATTTCTAATCTAATCAAGGTATTGACTTTATCAGTATAGAGTTGTAATGATCATTAAGTTTTTGATTGTGATCGTGAACCAATTGATGTTAGACGAGCACTGAAAGCGTGGAAGCACTAGACAGACTTTTAGTCCTTGTATGTGATTCTGCGGCAGTGCGCGTTCACGATCCTGCTCTTGGGATCCGAACCCAAGGCCTTCAGTCTTGCGCTCGAACGCTTAAACTCCAGACTACTGACTCGGCATCCAACGCTGTTAATGTCTTACCTCAACCAATCCACGAAATTGTGCAACCATCTTCGATTGTACTGAGGTAGATACCTGTCTCTAACCGACTAGGATTAACAGAATTTTTCTCAATTATTTTAAACTGAAAAAGATACTTTTACAAATACTTTAATTTAATTATTCACTGATTGTTATACTTTTAAACTATTGGATGTATTTACATTACTTTGTTATATAAAATATTTTAACTTACCATACATATTTTGTTCTCCTGTTATTAATCCTATGTACACTGATAAATTATGTTCCTCAACAGATTGTTCTATTCCGAAATTCCAGTTTCTTTTATGAATTTGTGTACAAAAAATTAAAGTTAAATATAGTCCCTATGTCTCTCGGTTAATATTTCTTCATTGAATATTAACAAAATATAAAAGAATATTCATGTCATTTAGTTACAGTCACTTGATTCTGTTGAGAAAGAAGCCGAAAAATGGTCAGGAATAAACAAAAAGTTAACTAACAATATCGATTTTCGTAAAAATATAACTAGTTTACTATAGATTATTATTAATACAATGATTGTTTCTACCAAGATTTCTTGATTATTATTTACAAAACTCTATTTCAATTAAGTAACACATTTAATGTTTTTACTTTACTGATGACATATTTTTCCTTCATCATTAACTAGCCGTTTATTTAAGATACATAATGAAGTCAAATTTCACATAGTTACTTGTCAAATCCTAACAAATTTTGAATTTTCCGATCAGGATCACAAACCGATTTGAGTAAGACAGCCATTTGTGACCTGAAACCAGTGGACGGTCGTTTCATTCTAGTATGAAACCCACAGTTGAACCCATCCACACCTCCGCATCTGAGGATCGAACCAAAGACCTTTGGTCTCCCGTGAAAATTGACCCGGAAAACGATAGTTTACAAATCTAACTTGCCATCTAATTTAAACTGCTTCGTGATCTACGTGAAATTCAGTAATAGCAACAATACTCTTATGATAATTATTACGTGCTCACTGGTAAGCTACATCGAAAGCAAATATGAAAAATCAAAAACTGTCATGAAAAACCAACTTCTCAAACTTTCGATGTATTTATTATCTGTTACTTTTGTATTACAAGAAATAAACTGCTGTCAAAAATATAATAACAGTTATTCCGTCTTTCTTTCTTGTAAATACAACTGTTAAGTTAATCAATGGACACATCTATAGGAACACACTTTATTCATAATCCTGATAAATAGCTCGTTTGAAACTTTGCCTACTAATTTTAATTCTCCGATCGTCCCGATTTTACGCCTGTGAATTTGTCTCGAACGTCTAAATGTCGAGTGTTTGCGAGTGAAACAGAATGTCCTGGGTTCGATTCTCATATGTGGACTCGTGGATCCGTTCTGCTTAATAGTCTTATACTAGGGCGAAACGCCTGTTTCATGTTTCCGGGTTTTCAATGGTAGTCTAGCTAAGATTGGTTAATGGTTAAGCCAAAGACATTTTACAATATTCACAAAACTACAGTACTAATAGTTGGTCATAGTTGCAAATTAATTTTATTATTAAAGGTTAGCTCATTCCGTCTGTTAAATGAGTCATTAATCTACTTGACCTTTTGTTCGTTTTCAATTTCGATGGCTTTCATAAACTATCCCTTAAACTCCGCTGGCATACAATGTAACTTCAGGGTGGACGCAAAGCTACCGAAGGCTGAACGTTACCGAATACGGCTCATTACTTTGCATTCACTATCTTTTATTGTCTTTAAGTGCTTTCCCATTCATCGCTGCCAGAGTACTCTTTGAGTAAATATGAGTATTTCTAAATCATTAAATCCGTAGATTAACTTTTACTTATAATAGAATTATACGTAATATGAAAGCACTAAAGCACTAGGTAAAAAAATAATTCCTATTCATTCTAGTATATTCTTTCTCTTTCCCTCGACTTGGTACTCACTTTATAAGTGAAACAGTATGATTTAATTGTTGTAAAAAAAATATAATTTCAGTAAGTTGAATGGTAAGTTTTATATATGAGTAAAAATTGATTATCCATAAATTATGAAGCAAAAGAAAACAATGAATGGCAAATAATCAATACTGAGTTCAAGTACCTAACATTCACTGATAAGTTAGATAATATTGATTATTTGTACTTCGGCATTCATAAAATAATTCATAAATATAATTATCTTATTACCATGCATTCAAAGGTACATAATAAAATAACAAGATATTTGATGATCTATTCACTTTCTGTTGTTCTCCAGCCGATGATAATACAGATTTAATCAATCTTATAGTTAAGTGAAAATCACCTAGTTGGACAATATTTTAGTCTACTCTTAAAGCTTGTCACTAAATGAATTTATTCGGGTTTGATTGAATAGTGATTTGTGAAGTTAACTGAGTCCTTAACTAGAGAACGAACTTACTAACCATAGTTTTAAAATGTTTCAAATCACCATGCACTACATATCATTTTAAAAATACCACATCTAACACCGACCACGTACGATATATAACAACCGTTTTACTGAAAATCTCAAGCTTCAATCTCGTTAGATAAGACTACTCATTGTTGCTTATTAGAGATTCTTTGTTAGTGTTGCTTTATGATGTGAACAATATTTGACTAAATATATTTGGTTATAGACTTTTTATCCCAGTTTATGAATCAGTCACTTTGAGAAGCACTGTAAATCAAAGGATATCAAATATATTTATCATTTTACCCATAGACCCCACAACAGTCTGGATTAAAATAACTCTAGAAAGGGTTCAGCACAGTACCTTAAAGTTTTATGCAACGGGTGATATGGTATAGACAGCCAGAATAAAATCAATGAATCACATCTTTGTGCAATGAAAACAACTTATCAACGTAAAATTTCAAAAAGATGGTTTCGATGTATGTATCATATGATCACAAATTACTTTTTTTATTATGAATCTCAATCACATGATACAAATTGTTAAAGCGTCAAAATATTATTCCCTAATCACTACTTCGTTTTTAGTTGATCTCAACTCTGACAAAATCAACTAATTTCGTAACATGAACCAAAGCGTTAGTAAATCTATTCTTCGAATTCCCTCAAATGTGACAATTTCTGCGGTCAAAAAGTAATTTTGTTTTACCTAATTATGATTGAACTGGTTGAATAGAATCGGTGATCATTTACAATAGTTCAAGATTAAAATCGTCAAGATACATCACACTGACCTTCAAACATGTCATTTTATTGGTTACATGAAATAAGCTTATCATAAACAAGTGTTTACAGATGGATGAATTTTATTGGTCAGTATGTTTCCTTGGAGTCACGTGCAATATGTAATCATAGTAATCAGTCTAACTATTGATCAAAAAAGAGATTGTAAATGAAAACTATATATATATATCTATAAATATGCACAAATGCAGATTATTTGAATCCGTGAGAATACATCTATCGATATGTATATTTGGTGAGGATTGAGAAAATGAATCGATTATTGTTATTATTTATCAAATGTAATACAATAAGGATAATGCATTGATATTTCTCTTCTAATTGGAATAAAATAATTCATTATGAAATAACTATTGCATAATCATGAAAAATTTCTTTTTCAGTCGATAATCTACCTAACTGTTTACTCTTTCCTAAAAGCAGAAGTATATCATATTAACAAATTTATTATGATTGAGTTTGTTCTTCCCAGAAATCCTAATGCATTAATTATTCCCATATGAAAACAATTTAATCATTTGTTAAGACTATTACACATTATAGTGTAAAAGGAGTGTGTCTTTTTATTAAAAGAAAACTTTATATTTCTCTAATGCATAATAATCAGTTTTGATTTCATCTTTGTATATTACATCATCTATATTTACTTTAATTAATTAAATTAACATGATTAATTTACATCGATATTTCTTATTAACAATGAATTATTTATTTTATTCATGGATAATTTGTATAAACGTTAATTGTTTCATTCAATCAATTCATGAACAACATTTAATAGAACAAAACTATTCACAAAATAATGATAATAGTATTAATAATAATCATAATAAACCAGTTGGTTGTATAGATTCAGATGGTATATGGCGTGGTTTATTTTCTACATGGATGGAGAATCCCACTTGTTGGTGTACATGTCAACCAGTATCTAGAATGGCTGTTAGTGTATGTGAAGGTTGTGAAATAAGTAAATCAATAAATAATAATAATATTAATAATTTAAATATGAATCATAATTATGTGAATGATAAAAATTCATTAAATAATGAGTCCATAATTGAAATATTTAATCCATTTGATACAATAAGAACAAATAGTAATGAAATTAATCAAAAAAGATCAGTTGATAATTATCATGATCATAAAATATCATCAGGAAATTCTAACTGTAAGTTGATAAATAATGTTCAAGTTAGTTGATGAATACGTACTTTGTTATTTATTGAATTTATTGATTATAATCAGAGAAGGGTTTTGTGGATATTATAGTAATGTCAATAGTTGAATTCATGAGTCAATTGAAGCTAGACTATCATAAAAAGCCTGGAAGCACTGGACGACCGTGTCGTCCTATTGTGGGACTCCTAAGCAGTGCGTTTCTACTATCCCGCCTCTCGAGGTTCAAATCCAGGATCTATCAGTCTCGCGCGCAAACGCCTAAGCTCTAAACAACTGAAACTAATAGGTCCTGGGTTCGAATCTCACGAAGCGATATCGTGGATGCGCACTGCTTAGGTGTCACACAATAGAACGAAACGGTCGTCCGGTGCTTTCAGGTTGTCTATGATAATCTAGCTTTAATTGACTCATGAATTCAACTACTAAATAATTCATTATACTTATAAATGTTTCATTTCATTGCCAATTATCCAATTTAATCATACAAACTGGCAGTTCAGTTTCTATAATTAGAAACATGTTATTTACATTTTTTTTCCAAATATTTAATTAGTTTACAATCGAAATACGAATTGATTAAATTCTGAATACAAAAACGATGTAATACGTGAATAAACTATAATTACTTTTAAATATTTGCCAATGTTTATAATACTTCTTCAGTTAACATTAGTGCATAATGATATAGGTTTAAATTATAGAAAAATCTATACACAATTATTGTAAGTACCAATTAACTTCGAGATAGATTTTTCAAATTTCCAGTTAGATGTTGCCATCAAAAACTTGAACTATTAATAATATTAAATGATGATAAAATGACGTGGTATAACAAATGAGGTTCATAATAAACGCTACTAAAAGATTGACTTAATTGTATCATGATTATGAAGAGATATGATGATCTAAACTTTAATCATATGTATATTTGAATGTTCAGTTTTGTCGATAAAGCATTATCCATGTTTGTCATATACATATATAGCATACGTAGGGTCACTTAGGCACACTACCACAAAATTTACAAACGGTAGAGAGATAACGATTCAGCCTGGTCTTATTTATTTATTTGGACACATAAATATTGGTACAGAGGGGCACCGAATACATATGCACAATGCAAGTCACTTGATTTATGTGTGGTCTGTGATACTACCCGGATGTCCAAACCGAAATAGGTGGTTTCCTCAAGAGGCCACACCCAGAGCCTTCGACCTAAAGGTCTGATCCACAAGATAGTATAGCAAAGTAATGAGATCCAGTCCCATGGTAGTCGGTCACCAATAATTGATTCATACATCATTCCTTTCCTCAGGATCCTGGAGCCCATATGCACCATTGGTTAGGGATTATGGTTTTTCAACTCCCCTAGGCGGGTCCTCCATACCCATCAACGCGGTTAAAGCACGGAGCTTCACTTTTCGTCTTCTCAGTTTCGTAAACAACAACTCCGCCGTGAGAAAGCAATGAGTATAACTTGTGTGACAGTGGCTGTATATACGTGGTCATATGAGAGCATTTCGAGAAGGAGAGCTGACTCTCCTCATCCACGGCCGTACCAGGATATTTGGGAGCCTCAGCCTAATCTGGTGTTTAACTATTCTTCATGGAATAGCGTTTCACAGGAAAGCTAATTTTCATTTGTTAAAAATTTACTGAATCAATATTAGGATAATTTAATATAATTATACACTTCTGTTTGTTAGTTATCCTGATTAAATCTATTCACTATAGATCAAGCCAATAACACTTTATCCTTTTATTTCATTAATTTCCAAAATATTTCATAAAGCATCTTAATAATATTTATTCACGGAATAAAATCTTTGAATAAATTCACGATTAAAATAAAAAGAGTACTGTAAATAATATAATACAAGAAATTATCACTGAAATAGGTTTCATTACTAAGGTCTGACTTGATAATTTCAAATAAATTGAACATTAGGTAGGTTTCTGTTAATAAAAATAATATACTTGTAATAATATACTGTAGTTCCTTCTATATTAGTGAGTCATCTAGTGAAAACTTGACTCGAGTCAAACAACAACTAAGGTCCACAAGAAACCACCTAGTAATCCTATAGAACTGGCAACAGTAATTTAGTTGCATATGTTTATAATGTTTATTTCATCAGTCCCTCGTCAGTTCACAGCTACACACCACTAAGGCTTTCGATACTAGGATAAAACACTTGTTTACCATTTTCTCATATAAAACGATCATTTAGTTAAAATTAGTTCGTTTAATACAGTATTTTGAGTTTAACAGTCTCAACCAAACCCATCAGAAAAAATTAATTCCTTGCCTACTAAAGCATTATTGGGAATAATTTAATGGCTAAGAATAATTTACAATGGGGTACATTCAAAAATTACAGTTCGATTAAATACAATGATAACGGTACTTTCTAGAGTATATATATCAAGAGGAGGAAACAAATCACACCATATGTAACCTCTGCATTAAACTTAAATCCTTACGACTTTGAGTCAGATTGACTTTTGTGGTGTTTTAATCGTACCTACCTAATATTTGGAAGTTTTGATGACTTTAGTTTGTCCCATAAATACATAAAGCCAGCCAACAAGGAACTTATCTTACAAAATCAAAAGTAGTTCAACCACCAAACTTGACCAACTTCTTTGCTTACTAATCATGGCAACTTGCCATTTTTGTTCCCGAATTTCAGAGCGGTCATGCATGAGGCGCTAAGATGTGAGACAACCAGGTAGATGATGATCACACACTCTAATAAACTGCAGGAAGGTTTAGATTTTAAATATCGTAGTTTTTATAACCCTAGCTTAAGTATTTATCGGATATAATTGTAAAAATACATCTATATGTTACAGTGTGATAGTTTCTTTTTTTTTAAAGTTACTTATTATACTAATAGTTTAAAGATCAAGCTCATTCAAAAAGATCTTTGATGAGGATTGTAATAAATGAAAACTAAATTAAATTTCAAAAGAACAGTGAAAACCTTGTAATCAAGCTCACTAGCTTAAATATATCAATGAAACCTCAAAAATATTATTTCAGTTTTAACTAGGATTATGAATGACCATTTTAGTGAAGTCACAAACTTGATTGTGGTAGTTAAAAATATCCCGTGATTTACATTCATTCTCCGGCTCATTTAAGTTAGTGATAAGATGTACTCACCAATTATAACGATTTTTTCATAAAACCACAACAACAAAAAATTCGTGAATATTGGTTGAATATTATATAAATATAACCGAATGTTGTTAGGTTTAGTTAAAATTTCAACAGTTCAGATCATGAGTCAATTGAAGCAAGATCATCATGGAAAACCTGGAAGCACTGAGCGGACGTTTCGTTCTATTGTGTGACTCCTCAGAAGCGCACACCCACTATCCCGCCGCGCAAAATTCGAACCCAGAACATGTCGGTCTCGCAAGCGAACGCCTAACCTCCAGACCACTGAGCCGGTATCGAACGGTGTTAATATTTAACTCCAACAAACCCACAAAATTGAGCGACACATTCACCATTGTCTTCAATGAATTACTATCTCACAACAGACCCGGTTAAACCCCACTGGTCACGGCTTCTCACTATAAAAATTGTAAAGGATTTTATTAAGTGAATCATCGATTAAATAATCAGAATATAAATTGATATACTTATGCAGTACAAGTTATAGAATTATCTACTTTGATATATAGTTAAAATGTTTGAACATTTGTTTACATCTGTTTGATTTTAATTTTCTTTTGTCATTTTAATGAATTAATTTCCTTTCTTTGTTTTTGTCATTTTCTGAACTCTGTTGACTAAAGCATCATAGAGTATGCTTTTGTTCATCAATAAAACTAGAGGTTAATTGGGCAGTAAACGGAATTTACTTTTCAAGATTTCTTTTTTCTTCCTTCCAAGAATTACTTTAATCTTTTCGGCATGATAGTTACGTTAATCAACCTGAAATCAAAAAAGCTATTCGAGATCAATAAGACTGTTAGAAATAAGAATAATGTTGAATTTATATACAAATACTATTTTCTATTTGGTCCTTTTTTATACAGTAG